ACTTTGTTGTTTTCACCAAGCATTGGTCATTTTTGTCCATTCTGACAGGACATTGGATTGACTAATTGTTCTAGGTCCTAAAAAATTTTCGCTTTTGCTGGTTTTCAAATTTTCAACTTTAAGAGTAAACAAACTTTTTAATAAACCTTCTAAAAACACAAATTATTCTCAAAATTCAGTTCTCTGTAGTTTCTCTAAATTTAGCTGATAACCTTTATTGTTTTGTTTTTTTTTTCTTATGTTTTTGTACATCGTTTGATGTTAGATGTTATTGCTTCTTTGTATGATATTATTTTTCTTATTTATGGATACTGTAGTAAGTAATTTATGCGTTTCTATCTTAAAAATCTTATAAATAAAAAACATTGCAAAATATCAATATACTGTTACTTTGATTTAACATTTTCACTACCCCTTGTAACAAGTCTAGAAACTTATTTTCTCACTTCGTATCCTTTCCAACATGGCAACTAAAGCCTACTCTCAGAATAATTTTAGTAGCGTTATTGTATAAAGATAGATTTCTACTTTTAAACAGACTAGTTAACAGTTTCGGCACCAGTAGGGCACCAGGAGGGTGCGGGAGGTAGTAGAATTTATACACGCGCTGACTAACTATCCCTCTTTAAACAATGATATAGATTATACATATAGATTATACATACAGAACTCTTATGTGGTGCAACAAAAACAACTATCAGAACATGCACAAAGCAGTGGGTGTTTAAAAAATCTCAGGAGGGGTGGAAAAACTCTCCAGAACAGAGGCAGGCCAAAGAGTTCTTAGAAGAACCATCGCCTAAACTCACCGAGCATCTACTAAGCCTTAATGGGAAAAATACTAGAGTACTAGTAGGTCTATTAACAGGGCATTGTAGGCTTAAAAAACATATGTATAATATTGGTCAGAAGAGACCTTGTGCCGATTCTGTCAGGAAGAAGAGGAAACGGCAGTACACGTATTGTGCTACTGCAAAGGTCTAGCAAGACTGAGATTCCTTACACTTGGAGAAGAAACACCAAGGGCAACTAGCTCTACCGGAGAACCACTTCCCAGTCTTTGGAGTCTACTACAAAAGACCGAATTAGACAAGGTACTCTAAACAGCGATTCAGGAATATCCACAATAGATCTGAAAAGGTCGAGGTGGGAGTGGCCACATGGCCCACAGTCCTAATTAAATCTAATCTAAGGAATAAACATTTATTTTCTTCTAATGCTTATACCTTCTTACTCACCTATATCATCTGCTTCAATATCATTGTTTTCCTTTAAATCAATTTGTACTATTAACATAAAAAACAATTTCATGAAAAAAAAAAAAAAAGAAATAAAAAATACCAATAAGGAAAAGTTGTAAAAACTATACACCTTTAAAATTCACTCAAATTTTATTTTAAAGTTGGATAGTTTCTCACTTTTCCCAATTTAGCTAACGATCTATCTTTGCTGGTATACGAAATCTAGTAAGTTCAAAAAAAAATTATTTGGATCACCCTGTATTATAAACTAAATTTTTAGTAAAAAACCCGACATAAATACATATACGACTAATTATTTTCGTCGGTATTTTGATTCAACGACGGTAAAACCACCTTAATTCAAAAATAAACCAATTCCTCTCGAGAAACAGAATTTTAAACCAGGAATAAGCCCTAAAATAGACTTAACTTATATTCATTGAAGATTTTACGGAATTCAGAACGTACAGCTACAAATAGCTGACCTATATAACCCACCCCGAGAGTGGCTGGGCAATGACGTCACCGCTGTTGTCATGACAACACGTTATTGGTAATGTTTAGCTTTGACACGTTTACATTCTTTGTTAAAGGATATTGTTTAACACTTTACATTCACATTGACATAAAGGACCTACAAAGGACAAAGGTAACTTGTGTCAACTCTTGATTGCACGGCCTCAGTTTGACATACACAGTTTGATGTAAATATCAGCACACCCCGACTAAAGCGCGATCATGTTAATTGTTTGTTTATATCGACCCATAGAGTAGATATCTTCCTATCTTTAGAACACACTTGCTCTTATTGGCACTGGACAACACGCGCTGAAACTATACAGGATGCATCAGGACTTAAAAAAAAGTATACCCATTATTTCTCTGTTGCATAAACAAGAATTTTTTTACAAACAAAACGTATAATAATAAACTATCTGTAGACAAAAACCTGTAGTACTTTGTATATTATTACAAAATAAGAACGTTTTATTTAACCGATGGAAATATTATTCATGTTTTGCTGATGCTAGATAAGTTTAAAAATAGGTTTTTCTTTAGTAAGTAATCACTAGAGAGCGGAATTTATGCAAAATGCATATATATGCATTTTTTGCATATTTTACCAAAGTTCAGAAAATATTGCATATTTTTCCAAAATTCAGAAAATATTGCATATTTTACCAAAGTTCAGAAAATTTAAGAAAATATTGCATATTTTCGAAAAAAAAAAAATTATTACTATACTGTGCAAATCAAAATCTGTTTTAACAGATTATACAGATATATTTGAAATAAACACCTTTTAAATTTTTGTATTTGTTTTTAAGTGTCACTTCTTGTAAATTCTTGTTAATTAGTTCTTGGAGGGTGGCATGCACTGGTTTTTTACCTTCTTAAGAGATTAAGCCCATTAAGGTAATTGTTAATAGATGGTATTTACACAGATAAAGTATTACCTACAATGCAATAAAACGGTTTATATAAAATTCTCAGTAATTTCTTGTAACCAATCTACCCTAACATCGGAATATTTTGAATGTTTTTCATTCTGTTTAATGAGATAGTATCCTCGTTATTTGCCTAGTGAAAAGTCTTGTAATAATTTGTTGTTTTAAAAGTGTCCAAAAATGTCGAGAATTTCTTCGTGGATTATTAACTTTCCAGAGTTGGAAATCAATGGGGATAAAGTTTTTTGTAAAGCTTGTGCCAAAATAGTGGTTTGCGAAAAAAAGTTCAAAGTGGTTCAACACGTGAAAACATCATTGCATAAAGCCAAATTGCAAAAAATGAAATCACAACCGATTCAACAATGCGTTGTGAGGTCATTTCAAAACGCCGACAAAACAAAAAGTGACAAGGAGGTATTTAATCAGGACTTGTGCAAAGCTCTTGTTGCGGCAAATATTTCATTAAAGAAGTTACAAAACCTACATCTAAGAGAATTTTTACAAAAATATTGCAATCAAACCATTCCTGACGAATCTACACTCAGAAAAAAAAAGTACATGCTATATATATAAATGTAACAGAAGAAATTAAAGTTTTACTGGATGATAGCAATTTTTACATCATTGTTGATGAAAGCACAGATGCTTGTGGAAGATATATGGTACATCTTATGATTGAAGCCTTAAAAGAAAATGAACCAGATACATCATATTTAATTGCATCAAAACAGTTAGAAAAAACTAACAATACAACTGTTACCCGATTTATTCAACAATCTCTAGCAGAATGTTTTTTACCAAATCAAATTCCCTCAGAGAAGTTCTTAGTGTTTTTGTCTGACGCAGCACCATATATGATAAAAGTAGGGCAAAACTTAAAAATATTTTATCCAAATATGGTCCACGTTACTTGTCTTCTGCATGGAATAAACTGAGTTGCAGAAACTGTGAGAACAGAATATCCCTTGGTTAACAAGCTAATTTCGAATGTGAAAAAAATATTTTTAAAAGCCCCTTTAAGAGTGCAGTTGTATAAAGAGAGAATGGTAGGGGTGTGTTTGCCCCCGGAACCCGTAATTACGCGATGGGGGACATGGATTAAAGCAAAATGTACAAATGGCTTCTGATGTACTACAGATATCCACCATTGTGGAATTAGGTACTATCAGCATGCTGCTAGCAAGAACATTTTAATATGATTGGATTACAAAATGACCCCAATACGTGTAAACTCTACATGGAACTAAACCACGTTATTTTCGAATACTAAATATGCGTCGAGACACCCTTTTCGGTCTAAAACCAGAAGAAACATCTCAGGAACTTATTAAATTTAATCAAAGGCACAGGACTATTCAAACGTAGCACCTGAATATCAGGTAAAGCAGAGAAATGAAATAGACCTCAAAATAACTGAAACCAGATATACATTTTGGAGTATCAAAAAGTATTGTGCAAGGATTAATAAAAAAATGGGTTTGGAAAAACCGTAAAAAGTAATAAGAAAATTTCCCAAGACATGCACATGAAACAATCAAATAAGAAAACCTTCATAGAAAGACCATGTTTAAAAATAACAGAACAATAACTGATATGTCACTGTAAAAGATCAACTGAACAAAATATACATCTACAATAGATACCAATTGAATAGAAACTAGAAACTAGGAACGAGAAACATCCAAACGACTGCGATACATTGGAACTGAACAGGCCCGATGCAAGGGAGGGACAGGGGGAGCAAAACCACCGGGGCCCGGGCCCAGAAAGGGCCCGGCATCTTTAAGAGAAAATAGGTTATAATATGTGGGGGTGATCTTTTGCCAGTGTTTTTCTTCGGAGAACCACCATGGCTCTCGGTGGCCCTGGTACTGAATAGCAAAATACAAGTACTTTTGAATAACCAAAGATTGATTCAAGAGGTCAGGAACATGCAGTGGTTGTACAAGGAACAAAGGTGGCAGCGTGGGTAGTATGAACTCATATGGAGTTAAAACAATTAACTATTAACTAAGCTACAATAATAATCGAGATAAAGCCAGACAATCCCAGCAAAAGTAAACCAATTGTCCTCGCCCCACTTCAACTAAACTCTGAATCAGGATAGGTAACGCTTTACTCTACATTGTATTTATCCGTAATTGAAGATCAAAATTTTCAGTTATACTATTCTTCTCAAGCAATTTTCTTAGCGCTTTGTCCGCATAAACCTGGAAGGCGGAAGAACTAGCTTCGGGCAAAAATGGTCAGAACTATTGGACAAATTATTATCGCAGTCAGAAAATAGGATCTTGGTTAACCAGAATAAAACAGTACACATAAAAAATAAAATATTTATTATTACTCCTTCAATTCTTTTCTTGTTTAACATTAATGGGTGCCATTTGTTCCCCGTCCAAATCGTCAGTCTTGTCCTTTTTCTTAAAAAGTGGGGCAGTCGCACTGATCAAGCCAGAAAGCGCGAAAAGTGCTCCTCCCACGAAGAAGGGAATATTATAGGATTTCGTCATATCATACAAGGTACCTGCAATGGGGCTGCCTACTAGAGAGGCGGCACCTCTGAAAAGAATCGTTAATCCGAATGCGTTCGTCAGTTTTTCTAAGCCTAGGAATTCAACAAGGATGATTGAAGTCAACGAAATGTATCCAGCTGTAAAAGAAAAAAGGTACAAGTTAAAATTGCAAAAAATATACAAGCCATATTCTTTTCATACGTGATTTGGTAATATCAAAACCCAATAGAAATGTTTTTTAAGTCTCCGAGCAATTACTATTAGAGGGAGTCTTCCCCCCTTCCCCGCGCTAAATTTTGTTAGCATCATCTACTCCCCCCGAGGGGGAAAATACCTCTTATGTAATTGGCTTATTTAATCAGCGTTGCCAAGTTTGACAGCGCCAGAAGTGTTCTGTGAGCGCCAGTTCTGACACTTTCTGACACATATCAATTTCTTATTTGTATTTTACGGAAAATATTATTATTTATAACGTTGTAAGGGTTGTAAATGTATGTTTAAGATTTATTATCTCTAATAATATGGTGAAAACATGCTTTATGTGTAAAAGGCCTGTTGAAAATGCTTCTTCAAGATAATATCATAAGAAAGTACAGACACAACCTAATTATCAGAGGCGGTGCATTAGGCAATCACCTTTTAATTTTCAATTAAACTTTCTTATTTTCTTATCGAAAAATTAAAATTAAGAGCAAGTAAACTCCAGCTAAGTTCATCTTCATCCGTCTCATAATGATTATAGTAAAGGTTAATTACTTATTATTATTATTTTAATATCACATCTTTGTAAAGTTTATTGTTATTTTTTTTAGGTTTCCTTTTCTTGATATGAGAAAGAAATACATGGTTCCAAAATATAGGAATTCAACAAGTGACCACCTGAATAACTTTTTATGCTAATGAACATTTTTATTACAGACCTCAGGGAAGGAAAATATTAAAGAAATATGCAATTTCGACGAAAGAAGTATAATAATCAATCCTGTCACTACTTCTACACTATATTCATCTGCTACTAAAATACTAAAACAGCAAGTAAGTAGAGAAACTTAAGTTCCTTGTTGACACTTTTTTTTAACTAATCTAAATGACTAATTTTGTGTATTGTTTAAATGTTCATTTTTGTACTTAATTTGTTTTAGGTTTAAAAAAAATGAACTTCTAAGATATGCATGGAATATCCCAAAAGAGCTAAGAAAGGTTTTAAAATTCTTAAGAAAACTATTCAGAGCCAAAAACATAAAATAGTCTTCCTGTCCAAAATATAAATAGGTATAAATATTTAGATATTATGAGTGATTTTTTATTCTATAAATAGAATATAATTTGCATCTAAATCACTACCTAATGAACTATATTATATAGTACAAAACTAAACAAGAATATCACATTATTCATGCTTTTTTTTTAAATTCCTTAAAAAACGTCCCAAAAAAATGTGAATATTTATTATTGGAGTTAATATCGTTATGCTAAAACAATACTAGAACAACTTAAATAATGTGGATTTTGACTATTTTGAGTTATGCAGATCATTATGATCTAAAAAAATGTTTGTCTGGTGCTATAGTCAGGTATAAAAACATTCATGTATTTAAACACAGTTGCAATATACATTTTATTTAGTTTTTAAGTTAAAACCTATTAGGACATCCTAAAATGACTTTTTTCGTTTGATGTGAGATTAATTATTCTATATTTTTGTCTTACTGTTTTCTCTGATTATCTAAAAAGTTAGAACAATATACAAAGACTGTTATAACAAAAAAGAGATATACCTTTACTTAAACACACAATTAGTCAGTTCAATTGTACGATAATTTAAAGCAGAAATCCAGAAAACTTTAAAAATGTGTTTAAATGTGTTTTTACTATAACAAGGACATAATTATTAAAAAAACTTGACACATTAACATTAACGATAGTTTTTTATAATATATATTATACAAATCACAACGAACTACACAAAATGGCATTATTATTAATTTAGCAATCAAAAAGTTAAGTACAATGATGACATTATAAGTTGAGTTTCTCGAAATACTTTTTTTAAATTGTCTCAGTAACTACCTAGTATTTTATAGCACAATGATATTATATGAATGTGCATTGTGTGATATCTTATATTTTAGGAATAAAATTATATATTTTTTTGCAAGTTTCTGTTAACAACGATTCCAAGAACTTTTGAAAATATTATTAAAATGGCCTTTGCAAATATAATTCTCAATTATGAGCTTTTGATCTAACATTATTAAATTTTTATTATCCATAAGGTTATAGCTTTCTAAGAAGAAAGTTTAACAAGACTGACCAGACTCAAAATTTTACCAACCAATTGATGGTTCTACTGGTTTCCATAAGAAAATTCTCCTCGAAACTACTAAAAGAAAAGTGGCAGAGGCAACCGAAGAAGGCAAAAAAGTCTTTTGCAAAACAAAAACTACAAATTTGTTTAAAAATCTAATTATTGATTGAAGTTTTACCATTAATAATTTTTGATAACGATTTAAGATTATGAAGTTCTATTATGAATTTTACTCTTTGATAACCTATGTTTAAATTTTTATTAGGACCAAAATAAATTATAATTTTCATTTCAACTACAAAAACCCTCATAATATTAAAAAGGGGAAAAACGTTAGATTAGTTATGTTCAGGAATAAACTCTTTAAATATTTATCTACTTAAAATGTATTACTTTTAGAAGGTATGTTATTAATTTTCTATTTGTACTTGTATTAATTTATTTCATTTTATTATCTGTTGTATTTTCAAATTGATTTTGATATTAATCTTATCTATTTATATATTTTTTATACTTACATATATGTTTTTTTTCATTGAAAAAAACGTTTATTAGCTTATTAAATATAATGAATTCATGTTGTTTTATTATATGCTTGTATGAATGATTACTTTTATTTCCTTTTAAAAATGAATTTCGAAGATAAAGCCGAAACGGTGAGTGAGAATAAAAAATTAGACGAAAGTGACGATATTTACTGGAGCTTTCATCTACACGCTTCTTTTTATAGCCATCTACACCTGAGCTAGCAAGATTCGTCTTCCCTCCATCCTAACATTCTCCAGATTTACAGAGAAAACACCGTTCTCTTTAACATATTCAGACCTTCTTTGACGGGGACTATACCACTACATTATCAGCTTTATTTGTTATCCCGAGCAATTTAAATGCATTCGTAATTGCTCATTCTCACCTCTTCTCTAGTAGATTCCGTACTCAGTTTCTTATTTTTAGTTACGTTTGCACTGCACTTTTATTTTCACAGCTTTAATTCTATAATGCTGTAACGCTACAATATGGATCCATTTTTGTGATTTATACTATTTAATGTTATTCGTAAGTGACCAACCTATTATAATAATTAAAGATTATTGTATTACAGGCCTGATTATGTTCCTGTAAAGCCGAAAATAGTCGCTCCTGTTTTTATAATAAAATTGATTTTAAAGTTTTATTCTTCAATTGAAAAAATTAGACCTTTATAGTTATTTTGTTTCTTTTCCTGCATTAGACACATATAAGACGGTATTCATTTTAAAAATAGTAAAATTAGCAAATTTTTTAGTTTTTTTTACAATTAAAACGTTTGGACAATGTGTGTTTTTATAGATAAATGATACGCCACTGAACAAGAAGGATGTTTACCTTCCCCCTTGTTCCCGCTTCCTCACTTCCTCTACAGATGTTGCTAACACAACAATCGCCAACAAACTCGTTTTCACGCTCCCTCTATTAGTAATTTCTCGGAGATTTAAGTACATTTACGACAACTGAAGTTGTCAGTTCTCTCAAATATGTCACTGGTGTTCATTTGGAGATTGATAATATTTTATAAACACACTTTTTTTCAATACTCATAAACCAATTAACGGAGTTTCAGCAGAAAAACCATAGCAAAGAAAGCTGTAAGCGGACTTTTCAAAAAAGTTTGATCTCCAAAACGACAAGCATGTGATTAGGGTATTCTCTAATGCTAGACGATTTGGTTATTAGTAAGTGATTTTCACTTTTGTTGTAAGCTGTCATAATTATAAATTGTAAATGTTGATTGGTCTGAATAACTGAGGTGTTGGAATTTGAATTACAGGCCTGGATTCAATTTCCAACTGATGCGACTCTAAAGAACAATTAATAGATAATTCAGTACCCGTAGCACCATCTAGCGTCTGGTAGGCGGAGTGCGATTGTATCAGGGTAGTGTTCTATTCTTGTGGCAAGCGCATTCCGCACCTCTGCGCAGCTTAGGTGGTCATAAATGTCGGAAGTGAGACTCTCGCTTGGTGACGAAAATCAAAGCACTTTTTTGGTGTGCGCTGTTGTAGACAGCCATAAAAAGTCAAATTATTCATTTTTAAAATGTGGAAACACAAAGAAAAGGTAAAAACTAACATAAATCATCCGTGTAGGATAGTGGGCCCATTGGCGACTCTTATTGTAAAGAATGACGTACCTTATTAGGTAGTAGAGAGTTATTGCAAGTTCACTTAAGATCAGTCACTATTTTGCCGCTCTTATTTTGACAACTAAGCATGCGCAGATCACTAACTTTAATAAAGATTGTGCCTGTTCATAATAGAGAGATATTGCAAATTTCTGTAAAGCCAGCCACTAATAGTGACATCGTAATTAGAGTTAAATAAATTCCATGCTAAAATCAGACTTATCGCAAACCTTAAATTTTGACATTAGAATCCTCGTCCTTATACTTATTTCTAACCTCTAATTATAATTTTAAAAGGTTTAAATGACGATTATATTAAATATTTAATATTAAAAAACTTCTAACGGATACGAATGTCGGCGAGCGCATCCGAAAGCTATAAAGTCGCAACTACCTGCTGCCCTTAAACATCCACAATTAAGGACAGGCACAATCCTTAATAAAGTCAGTTTTAGAACATTAACATCTGCGCATGCTTAGATGTCAAAATAAGAGCGGCACTAATAGTGACTGACCTTAACTGAACTTGCAATAACTCTCTTATTAAGGACAGGCACAATCTTTATTAAAGTTAGTGATCTGCGCATGCTCAAATATCAAAATAAGAGCGGCACTAATAGTGACTGACCTTAAGTGAACTTGCAATAACTCTCTAGTATTAACACTAGTGTTCACTAATATTAATTTATGTACTGAGTGATGGCAAGCCCAGTGGGGTAATTTAATTGGCTATATGAACGTACAATAAAGGCAGTTATTTAAATTAAATGAATTTTAATGAACCAGCCCTAGTATCGAAGGTCTCCTGGAACAGTTGCGTACAGCAGAGCAACACCCGGCGTGGGAAAAAATGGCGTACAATAAAGAACAGAAGGTCCAAATTTCCTCATGAGGTTAGGATTTAAATGCCATTTTACCATTATTATAATTCATTAATCATTAAACATGGACGCAGTAGTTTGAAAGCAACTGGATTATGACACCAAAGCAATCTCTTTTAGAATATATTGAGGCCAATTCCATAATAATAACGAATTTAAGATCATAATAAACAGCATAAATTTCCTGACATTTTAATATTCAAGCTATAATATTTAGGTTCATATTTTAATGTTTGACTTATCTATGTCCGAAAATCTTAGTTCTAAAGATCAAAACTGCGAACAGCCAAACGCTACTATTGTGTAACTTTTTTAAAAGCTCAGCATAGCAAGTAGAGAATACCAAAACGTTTCTGCTTTAAATTTTTTATAGTTTGCCGCGTTTCTAGTGCTTTTAAAAACGCTTGTTAGAGAATAAGCCCCCAGTTTTTTTAGTTCCTTAATTCTTTTCTAATATTTAGTGCTAATTTATTTATTTTAGCTCTAAATCCATAACTCTTGTAACAATTGAATTCTCCTATTTTAATTTTTTTTACCGAATTTGTAGACGTACAAATATTTTAATATTATTTTTAAAAATATTGTAATGTACAACTATTTAATAAATTTTTAATGTATCTAATATATACTACACAATAAATAAACACTAACGCGATACCAAATTGTAAGTCACAAACATGAAATAACTAGATCAGACAAGAATACTTATACAAAAAATGTATTTTATATATTTATATTTATTTATATATTATATATTATTTATATCTCAATCCTAGCTATGTTGTGGCATTTCTTCATAACTTAATATATTTACCACCGTATTAACGTACAATAAATGCCATAGAATTAATTTGGAGTAATATCCAAAGAGAGGTAAAAAAAATTAATCCTGCGTTATCTGAAACCGTTTTAGATGTTATCAGAGAAGTTGTTGGAGATATATCTCAAGAATTGTGCTCCAATTGCGTTCTCCGTGTTACCAAAATTAAAAATAACCATCAAATATTTTCGGCTCATTCTTGCATTATGAACCTAAATGACACGTCAAGTGGAGATGATAGGTTTGATGTAACCACGTATCTGTTGGTTTACGTTATTTTGGAAAGGAACAAGGTATTGTTTTTTTTTCCTTTTCTAGGAATGTAACCTTGACGTGTTGAGAAGGCTTGCATGCTTCAATCACTTTAAAAATTAAAGCTAGACTAATATATTCCACAGTAATTTAAATTTTTTATAATAAGAGGATACTAATAACAGTTGTTTAAGCATTTTTCGTAGCATTCTTCATTGATTTTTAATATTCAATGTAATAATTAAATACTTCAAGTAAATAAAATAGTAGGTGAAATATTATAGTTTCATGGCGATTTTGATTACAAGTCATGAATATTTATTTCGGATCAATTTCGTAAGTGTTGCCTTTAAAACTAAATTTAGTGATATTTATTAAATAATCGAAGAAGGAAATTATTGGAATAATGTGATAATATTTAAATACATATATTTCCTCATTAACGCGCAGGGCCGGCAAGAGGGGGGGTAGCCGGAACTAATTCCCGGGGACCGGACTCAAGTGGGGACCCGGCAGCGGCATAAGGAGGGCCCGGCAACTTAGGTGAGGACGTTTTTTACTTCTTCAGCAGTCCGGCACAAGAGGGGGAACTTTTTTTTAGAGATTCAGTGAAGAGGAGGAGAAATTTTTGCTTAAAGACCTTTTTTTAGAGAGATTCAGTAAAGAGTAGGAGAAGTTTTTGTTTGAAGACCTTCTTTTTTAGAGAAATTCAAGTAAAGAGGAGAAGAAGTTTTTGTTTGAAGACCTTTTTTTAGAGAGAGATTTAGTAAAGAGGAGGAGAAGGTTTATTTTAGAAATGTGATAATCAAGGGCCTATTTTTTTATAAAATTGTCGCGGGGCCTGACCTGGAGAATTGTTCCGGGGCCCGACCTGGCTCTCGGCGGCCCTGTTAACGCGTTACATACAACTAACTAGGTCCGTCCCTGGATCGCCGTTAAACGTGTTTTTATACGATTTCCTATGTTTTGCCGAAAGAGAAAGAATATCATTACCTCCAACTATACTACGAAGCCATTGTATATACTGCTCTGAAACCAAGTAAGCTAGGGAGCAATACATATACCTTATAAAGTTTTACTTACCAACGGCTATTCCAAAAAAGATGGAAACTAAAACAAACGACATATATGAATGGCACATGGTGAACGCCGCTGTAGAGGCTGCTCCAATCAGTAGACATAAATTATTTACATGAAAATTGTTGACGGACTTGATGTCAGCTATAAAGCCTATGGCAATACGTCCCACAGTGTTAGTTATTCCTATAACAGATATCAAAAATGCTGCTCGACTATTCGCAATCCCCTAAAACAAACAAATATAATTATTTTTTGTTAGGAGAAGTATTTTAGTTCACGTACCTCAAGCTCGGCAAGATCAACTAAATATACGAAAGGTATATAGAAGGCGGTCATCCCAAAAAGATTTGAAATTGCTATTATTAGGAAAACGGGATCTTTAAGTAGGCTAAAATCGATAAGCTGTCCACACATATCTGAACTGTCGCCTGAAAAATAAAAATAAAAAATAAATACCACAAGTTAATTCTTGATACAAGAGTAGTTCCCAATGAGCACACGTACGTAAAGAAAACATCAAAAATGGTTAATAACCAAACGTATGAAACGTATAAAAATAGTTCAAATATCGCGGAAAATAACGTTATTTGCAACCAAACGTTTTAATATAACGTATCATTTTATCAAGTTTTCAACATTCTATTGAAAATTACTAGAAAAATACGTTAGAAAATAGTATTTTATATACATATAACTTACCAACTAAAATCTCAATGTTGAATTTTCAACCATAATGTTTTTTTATAGTATGCAACGTTAAAAATACGTTGAAAAAACGAGCGTGTCTATATTGGGTCAATTAATTTTTAACAAATAGGCATTTTTTTATTTTCTTAAAGAAAAAGAGCGAATAAAATACAGGGTGTTCCAGGGCAAATAGGGCAAAAAGTTCCTATTAACAGCTCTGTGATGCTGGCCCCCCGAAATTCTAAAATTTTAGTTTTAGAAGCGGCATACGTTTGACCACCTATTGACCATATTTGACCACCCACTAACTTTTTTGACCTCCCTCAGAAACCTAAATATATAAAAAAATATTAATGGCCGAGTGCCCGCTGGTCCCCCGAACTTAACATTTTTTTATGACTGACTGCACCTTAAGGTTAATCAATTTTTGAACATGTTTGACCACCCCTTAGATTTTTTTAACACTCCTTAAAATAATTTAAAGGGGGTACATTATAGAAAAACAAGAGTTCTAGGATGAATTTCAACTTTGAAAAATAGGTCAATGCACAGAAAGGCACAAAAGGACATAATAAATATCCATAAAGGTTTAAAATTATGTTTTGATGTTTGACCACCCCCTAAAATAATTTTAATGTGTCCAAGTAGTGTAAAAATTCGAAAAATAAAATTTGAAAATCGAATTTTCAATTAAAAAATGGTCAAACGACATAAGTTTACAAACAGATCCATAACGATTAAGAATTATCTTTTGACGTTTGACCACCCTCTAAAATAATTTTAATGTGCCCAAATAGTGTGAAAATTCGAAATATAAAAATAAGGAAATCGAATTTTGGCTTGTAAAAAATGGACAAACGTCAAAACATAATTCTACACTAGTATGAATCTTTATTGTGTACTTATGTCGTTTGATCATTTTTTCCAAGTCAAATTGCCCTTTCCAAATTAAATTTTTCGAATTTTCACACTTCTTTAGCACATTAAAATTGTTTTAGGAGGTGGACAAACGTCAAAACATAATTTTAAACCATTTTGAAATCATATTGTGCGTTTATGTCGGTTGACCATTTTTTCCAAGCCGAAATTCGATTTTCAAATTTTATTTCTCCAAATTTCACACTACTTGAGCACATTAAAATTATTTTAGGGAGTAGTCAAACGTCAAAACATAATTCTAAATCGTTATGGATCTTTATTGTAAACTTATGTCTTTTGACCATTTTTTCCAAGTGGAAATTCGAATTCCAAATTTTATTTTTCGAATTTTCACACTACTTGAGAACATTAAAATTATTTAAGGGGGTGGTCAAACGTCAAAACATAATTTTAAACGTCTGTGGATATTTATTATGTCCTATTGTGCCTTTCTGACCATTAATCTATCTTACAAAGTTGAAATTCATCCTATTAACGTATATCCAAAAATGTCTCCCCTAAATATAGTTTTCTGATATTTTTGAAACTAGTACCGATAAATACTTCTCTTAAAATGAATGTTATGAATGTGACGTGTAGTTTAAAAACATTACGCTTCTAACTGCGACGCCACAACTAGGGTAGAGTGGTATATAAACGTATTATATTTTTATATACTACAATTTATTATTTTTGAGAGAGTTAGAAATAATTATCCTTCTTGCGATAAAAAGATACTCCTGATTCACTTCGATAAGACTGAGAGTTTTCCAGGAATATCGCTTTAAAAAGCATATTAAATTTAGACGTAGTTTTCCATTCAAGTTTTTATAGCAGAAAAGCTAAGTTAATCGAGAGAACAAAAGTTTATTTACTCACAAATAAATTGTCAGAACATAGATTACCTTTACGAATACATGTCTGTGTTCTTCGCCTTATTATCTGAAAAGCTCTTTTAATTTTAAATTACTTTTTTCTCAATATATCTGTGGCAACATTAATTTTGTGCATAAGCCCTTCCCGGGATTTAACCTGTGTGTTTTACACTATTCTTCTCAAATTTCCCAAGAAATAGTAGTTATAAAGGGCTAAGATTAGGCGAGCAAGGTAGTCAAAGTTTTCATCCAACCATCCACAGTGGTTCCGCCTGTGGTCATGGCAACAAAAATGTCAACATTTTATTTTGACGTCAAAATTTTCCAAATTGCTTAGAAATGTCCAAATCGTACTAATATAAAAGCCACAACCTCTTTCCCCCACACCGTCATTTAGTGTTCCTCGGTCAAAGTGTGAACTACGTCGAACCTTTGTGCATGTGTGTTATTAAGTTAAGCGAGTAATCTACCTGAATTTACTTAGTCTTCAGAGAGAAGTTGTGAAATAAATTGGTGATATAATGGACGTAGAAGTCTTGGGTATATATATTTTACATTTTTTTTGTAGAATTAGAAACAAATAGATTTTATATATTTTTTTCTCCATATCGCCAGTTTCTTATTGTTTTTTTTTAAATTAGACTTTCAACTAGTTTCCAAAATACTTTGATGCAAAAGGTGAATTAGCAATTTAAAAAACAATTACGAAATTTTTGTTTGGGATATTTTTTTAAACATTATTCAGAATGGGATCTTTTTGAACGGGTTTATTTAGCTTGACTAAAAGCTTGATATTTGTTTCAAATCTTGCGACAGCTTTTTCAACTATTTCCCAATAAGTAAGAGAAATGAAATTTGGTATGTGTTTAATGTTCCTGTGACAATATAATTTTATATTTTTTTATTACAAAAAATCAAAATGGCGTGTTCAAAATGGCTTAAATCTTTTCGGTGTTTAAGGTCACTTAGTATAATTTTTGACGCAAACCTAAAAACATCAAAATGGAGGATCCAACATGGCGGACTTTCTCATTTATGAACCGATATGTGTCAAATTTGGAACTGGGGGGGGGGGGGGGGGGTGTTTAAGGTTGTAGATTATGATGTTTGGTTCAAACTTAAAAAAATCAACATGGTGGACCCAAAATGGCGCACTTTTCTATTTATGAACCCAAATGTCAGCTTGAAACTTGCGGGTGTTTAAGGTCACTGATTATGATTTTTGATTTAAAGTAAAAAAATTCAAAAAGGCGGACTTTTCCATTTATGGGCCGATATGTACCAAATTTGGAACTTGGTGGTATTTGAGATCGCTGATTACGATATATTAATTTAAACGTCAAAAAATCAACATGGCGTAACCAAAATGGCGGACTATCCTATCCTATCGTCTCTATATATCTTTTCGTTTCAGATAAAATTATCAAGTGCACTTATGCGATGAATATTCTGGATATTTGGCTCTCCAAGATGATAAGCACCAATTTGAAGAAGGTCCGTCTGGTCTTGGCTGATTAAAACCGTATTTTGCCCCAAACACAAAACGATATTACAAAATTGGAAGGTCGAATCTCCTATCTCTGTAAGAAGTAACTAGTAACTAGTGGCCAAGCATCGCGAATGATTAAATATCGTGGAAATTTGTAAACTATCTCTTATGGAACAACAATCTCCGGAAGATGACGTAGTTTCAAAAGTGTCCATAAGATCTCAAGAGCTTTCTGATGATCAGGCGGCAACGACAAGTAGTGGTAAAAGATTTTTGAAAGACTTTCAAGATTGCAGTGATCGATCAAAACGTAGAAGATTGTCCGAGCTTTCCAAGGTTGGCGAGACTACAAGATAATGTAAAAAACAGCCACTTTGAAAATTAAAATGGATGACATACTTTCATTAGAAGCCAAGTTGACAAAACATCAATATTTGTTAGTCAAAGAATTTGTTAATTCAAAAGTTGAATCTAACGCATTTCCGTCCCATTAAAAAGTTCTTGCAGCAAAAAAAGTGCTGCGCCTCCAAGGAGACAGTCTCAGAATCGTCCACAGAAGTTGAGTTGCAATCACTTTTGGATCATACAGCATCCCGCATTCTCAAATCTCAAAAACATCAACTCTCTCAGCTAATATCCTTGAAAAGAAGTTAACTTTAATGGGTAAATGGGCCCTTGATGGTAGCAAGGGACATGAAGAATATCAAAAGTTTACAGATGAAAACATACACGATGAAACCATGTTTGTAACGTCCTATGTTCCTCTACAGTTATTCTGTCAATCATAAGCTTCTGATTCCAACATAATTGTGTAGAAGAATCCGCGTCCTTCCTCCACTCGATTTTGTAGGGTTATTCGGTTTTAATTTCTCAAAGAAACCAAGAAATTTCTCTATGCAAGAAGAAGCTTATTTTAAAAACAAAATTGAGAATTTAAAACCGAAAATTTTTAAACATGAATATCGAGAAATTCGAGTTCAACATTCTTTACAATTAACAATGGTTGACGGTAAAGTAGGTATGTTGTGCTCTTGCTAAAACATCTTCAAGTAGGTGTTACATTTGTTATGCCCCGCCAAAAGAAATGAATAAAATTGAATTGTGTTCAAGCAAACCTGTGGATATAAACAGTTTTCGTTTCATCTTTTATCTTTCATCTTTCATACAGACTAGATTTTAAAAAATGGCAAGCTAGATCAGAGAAAGAAAAGCTTCTTCTTATAGCGAGGAAATCTCGAAAAAAAAAATAGGGAAAAGTTAGGCTTAATTGTAGATAAACCGCAAAGTGGAGGAAGTGGGACATCAAACGATGGTAATACAGCGCGAAATTTTTTAACAAATTCTGAAATTTCAGCTGAAATTACTGGTTTGGATAAAGATCTTATCAAACGCTATTGTGTTCTTTTACAGTCTTTAGAATCTAGTTAAAAAATTAATTCCGCAAAATTTAAAAGTTACGCTTTAGAAACAGCTGAAGAAATTATCCGTGGTATTGCCTACCTGCTTCAGTGCATAAAATTCTTATCCATGGGTCAAAAGTTATTGATCATGTACTCCTATCCATAAGGGAACTTTCGGAGAAAGCTGCAGAATCTTCAAACAAAATTCTGAAGTTATTCAGATGCAACAATACGAGAAAAACAGCTCGTATTCATACAAACACAGATATTCTGCATAGACTTCTATAACATTCTGACCCTTTTATTTCTAGCTTAAGAGAATTGCCAAAAAGTAATAAGTCAATCCTAATACCAGAAGTTTTTGATTTATTAGAATTAGGAGGGTAATATACAACATTATGTAATTTAGTTTTAAGTTTAAAAATATTTCTTTTCCTTACAATAAAGGTAATTTATTTTAAGACTATTCAAACTTTAATTTCTTGCTATTTCTACCTCAAAAAACCGACTTTAAAAAAGAAGGAGGTTCTCAATTCTTCATAATATTTTTTTTATGCATGTTAAGCGATAATTCTTTAACACGGTGTCCGATTTCAATGATTCCTCTTTTTATTAGAAAGGTGGTACTTCAGGGGTGATCCCATATCAAATTGGCCAAAATTTATTAACTAGGTCCATTAGAAAATCCTCAAATTCTTCATTTTTAATGTATGTTTATTATTATTAGTATAAATTTGGTTAAGATGTGATGACGTGATCTGCACGATTTTGAAGTCGGTTTTTTAAAATTACTTTTAATATTTGTTGAAGTCGGTTAAAAACAAAACAAAATTTATTTTTATTTGTTTTCTTATTGTCACTAGTGAAAATCAACAGTTACCTAATGTTACATAAAGTTGATCATTTTGACACTTGCTACAATTACAAAAAATGTCACCTTTTATGTCAAAATTAGAAAAATACTTATTTTATTATTAACTTTTTAAAAGTTAAAATTTCATTCTATAAAAAAACAATCTTTAGGGTACATGATATAAAAACGGATATTTCTTCACTAACCTTTAAGTGAAGGGCTCTTAGGCCTTGCTGAAAGACTATGTACACTATTTCTGTACTCAGCTAATGAAGTCCTCGACTGGAATTCTTTGAGATTCTGGATAGACGATGCATAAAAAACATCCTTCCTTGCTAACGGCTGTAAGCTATTCTTTCTCTTTGAAATAGAAAGAGTTGAATTGTACACTGGTCGGTTCGAAATGTTACCCTGAAATTGAAATTAATTTTTTTTTGTTTTAAGGCTAAATAGTAAAGGTATTACAGCTTATTTTATGCCAACAACTTTTAGGTGTGGGGTTGTAGGGTACAAAAGAATAAACATTTTATGCTTCATAAACATAGGGCACGCCCATTTCAGATAGACACTAACAGATCTAAAAGATACTTTATTAAAAAATCAATAAAGTTTAAAAAGTTCACTGAAATATTTCGGACATATGTTCATTAAACGAAATTAGTAGTTTGTGCAACAAGAGTGGATATGATGGCCATATCATCTAACGAAAATCTACAAATTTTAAAAATTATTTAAATTATTGAGATAAATAACTATATGAAAAAAATTAAATTCAAAAAAGATTCAATTTAATTAGTCTTCAATCCTTGATTTGAACACGGGACCTCTCGCATAACATCCAAAGGTGCTAGTCTTGGCTCCATCGCCCATCTAACATTTTAGTTTTAATACTTGTAATTAAATTAAATTTATAGAGTTTTATAAAAATTTATGATTTGTAATATAGAAAAAAAAAGAAGAGAAATACTATTATTTATCGGTATATTTACATGACACTCTATGAATGAGTTTATTATGAACGTTTACTATTAACCAATGATTGTTTGGTTGCAGTTCTACACAGCTTTGGCAACAGACGAGTTTTTGTATTTCAGATTTAGTAATTGTTTCAAATTTCGATTTAATCTGTTAAACTAGTTGTGTAGAGTATGTACCATAATATTATGGTATAAGTACCTTAATACCTAATTAATAGTGATACTACAATATTTGCTAAATTCGTAAAGTGTTTCTCATGAATCCATTTTAGGACATTTAGTCTTTACCCTATTCATAAATGATATTGCCTAAATCAGCGCAAAAGACACTTGTTATATGCTAATGATTTCAATCTTATATCTTAAGTATCTGGTTTTTGAACCATTTGTATACCTCTGCAATAAAAAAGAAATAAAATATTGCATTTAATTAATTAAGCCTTACCTCACTTGCACGGCTCATCAAAGCACCCTTTGAGGGTACTTTAACTTCTTCAATTACTTGCTCATCGTAACTTAGAGGTCTCATTAACATACCGAATAAGGCACACGTTATAGTTATTGCAGCAAGAACCAAAACTGTTTTCTGCCAGCCGTATGACGTTAGTAGAAATGAGGCTAAAGGTGCAAATGTAAAAGTGCCTAAAACAAAAATTATATTGTTAATAATGTTTCTTCACTTAACCGTTCACTGTTGCATTCTAATTAACAAGTGTTGTTCCGAAAGTGGCGTTGAGAAATAGTTACACAGCTTGACTTAATTCTCTAATATTCGTATAAATACATTTTCATTTATCATCTATTGAAAAATCCAATCATTTTACACTGATTTTTTTAATAAAAATGGACATTTGTTGTTATAAACAAATTTTTCTATTTATTTGTATTAATTTCTTTAGAACGAATACTGTTGAAATTACATTCAACATGTCCTATCTGCTAATCTAAATCAGCATTTAACACCAAAAAAGAATAAAATACTAGATACTAGATACACACTCCCTGTATAAACCTCCGCACTTAACAAACAAAAAGAATAAAATAGTAGACACTCCCTGTATAAACCAATTATCCAAAGTTGTGAAATAACAACCCGGTTAACTTCAAAATAACCTTCAAAGACACCTGCTACTTTGCGAACAATTAAAACTAATCACGCGAGATTTTTTCACTCAATCATAAGACAGATCTTAAAAACAATCATACGATACGATACTAGATAACCAATTAGAAGAAAGCCGGTAAACCGATGCGAGCTAACAAGCATCGCAGAACCAAACAAAACACTCACTTTCGTTTTCTCAGTCAACGAAGCGATAAGTCAAAAACTTACAAAGCCGGCATTCGCCGTAAATTAATTTCAAGCATTGTGCGAGTTGATTTACAAAATTTAATATGTAACCGATCAATAAATTTATGTAACAAAGTAGTAAATGTGTTAAATGTGAAATCATCAAGCCGTGAATATATCAAATTCAAATATAGGGTGATAGTTGTATTTGAATAAACCCAGTGCTTCAACCAGAACTTCAAGAATATCTATCATAAGCTACAGGATGGAGCATAAGGCCTCCACCCCAGGTAAGATACTATGATACAGTCCACCATGATCGAAGGCAGTATATGTCAAGCCCAATAAAGCTAGGGTAGAACAAATACTAAGCTCTGTCTCGAATTATATTCGACATATTGGACAGTAAATGGTAATTTTAGACAACATAAAGAAATAAGGGCAAATAATATCACATATCATTTATATAAATTAGAATAATAGAGGATCGAGAACGGACCCTTGTGGCACTCCATATCTTACTTATTGACACAACAAAAAATGTTGTACGGCTCAATTAGCTTTAGAGAAATACGATGAATTCAATAACATGGCAGTTTTTCCGAGATATTTTTATGGGACACGGTCAAATGCCTTAGACATTAGACAGCTTACTTAATGTTGTCCCTATTCTAGGTTCTCACTCTACTTTCCACAACTAGGGATGTAGCGATACCAGTAAAGTATCGAAACCAAAGTATCGATACCGGTATCGAAATGGCATCGGAACGAAAGTATCGATACCGATATAGGGAAGAGTGTAGAACAACCAAAAAAAAGGTCATAGGGTACGCCGACATGCCATATCATAAAGTGATCCTACAATATACTTTTTGTTTGTATTGTGAAGTCAAAACTAGTAAAATATTGAAACGAAATTAGTAGTATCAAAACAAAAGTAGTACCCATATGAGTAAAGTATCGAAAGCAAAGTATCGGGTACTAAATTACCCGGTATCGAAAGAAAAGTATCGACACCAGTATCATATCAGTAGTATTGCAACATCCCTATCCACAACACTTAGTGCTGCATTAACGGTGAAGCGGTTTACCGATATCCAAATTATTTTCAAGTTTTTCAATTATTTTCGAAAATATACAATAATTATAGTGCTATATTGTCAACCAATGCAGAATTTAGGTACGTTATCTAGAATAAATTTATATTTAGTGGCAAACAATAACTTCAGATATATTTTTTGTTTTTTTTTTTATTTGGTGTCATCGGCATCAACTGCTGAGGTTATTAGCCTTGTGTTCTGTGTAGGCTTTGTTACTATTTCCCAGCGCCCCTTTAGGAACATCACTGTTAATTAGAACCCAACAGTGAATGGTGGAGTGGGCGGGTACTCTTGTTTCGAAATTAAACGTGGGTAACTGATGGTTAAATATTTCCAAAATTTTAGAGGTATTTAAGGATCTAATTAAATTTAGTAACTGATTTCTTGTCGCCGCTTTATTGAAAAAATATTTTCTTCTGACGAAAACTTTTAAAGTGTAATAAGTCATTATCAAAGCTACATTTGTAAAAAAATTAATAAAATTTTAATAGACCTTCAGATAGCTATCAATATTATGCCCCATTTTTGCATACAAGCCTCGATATGCTTGCGTGGAAAAATCGGTTAAAATCTTTCGTCACAAGATTGCGCCCTTATTTCAACCCTTTAGCCACTTGCGATATTAAATCCTTTAGTTCTCCGAAGCCTAGTTCTATTAGTTAATCATTTAGTGAACACGGTTTGCGTGAAAATATGGCCAAAAAATTCCTTCAATTTCTGAGAAAATCGAATTTTCCATATGTTATCTCTAGGAACTACTCGTAAATTATCCTTTCAATATTCTCAAAATCGATGTACTTTTCAACCTTTTTCGAAGATTATATGGGAAAATGGGGCACCTAAACCTGTCACTTTCTGACGGTCTATCGCTAGTTAAGTCATTGTTGGATAGCCTTTAGTTTTTTCAACTTCCAACTAGTCTTTGATATGTTGTAAGATGACAACCTATAATAATAATAATAATTATCATTTGCAGTTGGTCTACCTAAGGTCTACCTACTTTATACTATTGTCATAATTTTTCTTTATTTTTTTTTATGTATGTCAAAGACAGCAGATCCCTTATTAACAAATAGTTTATAATACTAGGTTTTTAAAATTGTCAAAAATGTATGTAAATCATCAACATTTTGATAAAATTTAATCTTACCTCAGTCTAGCTGGGATTAAAGTGCATTAATATTTTCCCAATCTGATTTTGCAGACTTGCCGTCTGATTTAAACCATCTTTAAAGATACGTTTTAGTTATAGACTGAGATCTAGCGGCCGCAAGGTGGCACGATCGTACCTCCTGCAGGAATTTTGTGATGTGGTAGACAAAATCAGCAGAAAGTGTCATCTGCAAGGGTATAGTTCAAAACCCCTGCAAATAAGACGACAGATGACTAAAAATTGTAATGTTTTTGTTAAAATTTATAATACACATATTTTATTAGAAAAATTTTCATTGGCAATCCGTTAGCTCAATCGACGTGGTACCATTCATGATGAATGCAATTATCTTTGTACTTTCTTTATTTTGGAAAAATATGAAAATTTAAAAAAATACGTTCTATTATTTTTTATTTATTTTAAATACATTTTATTGTTAATAAATAACCCGAACCTAAAAGATATATTATCCTGTCGCTAATGCAGCACGGAAACGTCTCGATGCATATAACGATTCTTCCAATCCTATCTCCTTGAGGAAGTGTAGGATTAGGTAAATCTTTCTCTTCTATTTGATATGCTCCTGGGTACTGTACCCTTAGATTCTGAAGTGCTACACATTTAGTCAGAATGTGAATGGAGGTTAAGTCTTCCTCCTAACAGAATCTGCACTCACTATCTTTTACTACTCTTAGTTTACTGAGGTGTCTTTTGAGTCGGCCTTGCCCAGTTAGGCAGCTACAACTTTTGATCTTTTCTGGTTAAATTCACCCAGAAGTACCTTAACCCATTAGTGCGTCGAGTCTCTCTAAAGGGACGCCACTATTTTCCGAAGTCTAGATCTCCCTAACCTTACTTTCGAAGAATGAACGTGCTTGTTACTTGATTTAAGACTATGAAGACTAAAGAGAAGGAGGCGAATCGGCAATGGTCAAATTTTAAATTTCCGTCCTTCTTTTTACAAAGTTCGCGAAATTGACTGTAGTTGGCATGTCAAGTTACAGCGGTGTTAATTTTCTATGTAAGTTAATGTAAAATAAAGTGATTTTTTAAAAAAGTACAAGGAGCATGAGTGACAAGAAACATCAAAGCAAGATTTACGTCGTTCCAGATTATAAAACAGGATAAAAATCAAATGTAAAACTAAAGAAAATATAAGAAGAAATCAATTTAATGTCTTTTTAAAGCTTCTAATGTAAGTAAAATAATGTAATGCTGACTTACAAACAACAATAATTATGCATTAAATTTAACTTACTAGAGTTTTAATACTAGACTTAAGATAAAGAGTTGCTACTGTTATTTTTTTTTTTTTTTTTTTTGACCCCAATTGTGTCATTGTAAATGGTTTTTATAGGATACTAAATATTTAGGCAGCATATATATCGTTCCTAGTGATGATAAAGCACTTTCTAGAGATGAAGTTGTTTTATACTTTTTAGAAGATATCAAATATTATTAGACTATTTTTACTGATGGTACTTTTAGCAAAATAAAAAGGAGAAAACTGAAATTAAAGGATATTGTAATACCATGTACATTCCCAAATCTCCCTTTATACTTGTATTACAACAATAAAAAATCAGCTAACTGTGTTTTATTTTACTCTTATTTCAAAATTACAAAAAAATTGCCACAAAATTGTACTTATCAAATTTCAGCATTTAAGAAACCTTTTCGAATTTGGTCATTCACACCTAATTTGTATTTTATATAGATAAAATTAAATAATTTATCAATTAAAACATGCAAGACTTATTTAGAAATAAATACAACAGTATATTCTGTGCTTTATTTAGCTATAAACAAGTTTATTTTTATTATTTTGACAAAATTATCTATAATTCCCATAAGAAGCCATGTATTTTGAATACCGTATGCAGTACCAGCGCCCATGTGGTTAATTGAGGCCTACATTTCCAAAACGTTGTAAGTGCCAGTTTGCTTCAAATGTACTTTTTATGTTATTAATGTTTTAAATGCCATGCTTTACGCTCCCACAAAGCACTTTGTGTGTGCAGTGAAAATCACGTGATTAAGTAGACGCGAAAGTCAGAATGTTGCAAGGCCATCGCGCTCGTCGGATGTTACGACGTGC